ATTCACACCCAGAAATAGATGATCGTTAGTATCTATTACATCGTTTTTTGCTGGTAATGGCCTTGATTCCACTTACTTAAAAAAGAGTTACATTCGATATGAATCAAGATAAACAATCACATCACACACCAATATTATTCTACGTTCTTCTCTTATTAAGATGAGTTTTTTTTTGTCTTCAACAGCTTCCAATCAAGGATAGTTTCTATGGGTTGACATGTATAATTGTGAACAAAATCGATTGCATTTTTTTTCTATTTATAAAACAAAATTAATACAGAATGAAAAAAAAAAGTATTTTATAATTCAGATAAATCATCATTTTGATTCTTATACTTTCAAAACTTTAACTTTTGCACTCTATAAAATTTTGCGTCATTTTTTTTTATACATTTGAATTAAAATTAGAAAGAACGAAAATTTTTCTTTTTAAATCATATCAATACTTTCCTTCTTTTAAAAAGAACACTTTTATTGTTCTCATACTCTCGATGACTGGCGATGATGCAAGAAAAAAAAACTTTTATTAATCGATAATCATGACAGTTGACAACGAGTTGATGAGTACAAATAGTGCTCGATTATTGGAACTTTTGCTAAAAGTAACTTTCTTGTATAAGAATAATAAAATAATTATTGAGTTATTATATTAAATCTTTAGGCTACTCGAACATCAAATGAAAGAGAAGCAATTCAATTGTGGAAACATTTTAATGAAAATCTGGATTCGGATCAAATATATACGAAACAATCATTAAAAAAGAAAAGTTATTTTTCTTTATTAAATAAAAAAAATGAGACAATCATTCAAGTACTTACTCAACAACTGGATAAAGATAAATTATCTGTATTACATTATGTAGCTCAGTATAATAATTTGTTTATTTGTTCGAAATTGGCTAATCTAAATTGCAGTAAATGAAATATGTTTTCAATTACTACGCACTATCTCTTTCTGATTTATATAGATTTTAATATTGTTGGAAAAAATGGAGAAACAATACTACATATAGCAGCTCGATCTAAGACAATCGATGAAGATACACGTCGTGTAACCATAAGCAACCATTCAGAAAGTCAGCAACAATCATTATTAATCTATTTGTTATCAAAAACGAATAACAAACAAAAACTATTAGTCGATATCAACAAACGAGATAATCAAGGTCGAACAGCATTACATCATGCTGTCATGTCTAATAGAATTGCAAATGTGAAAATATTACTTGATTATGAAGCATCTATTACAGTGAATATATTTTCTCTTTGATAAACGTTAAATTTCTTATTATTTTTTTCTTAATAATAAATTTTAGATAAAAGATATTCGTCAAGCAACACCATTACATTATGCATGTCGTTTTAATCTAACAAATGATATTGTTCGATATTTACTTTTAAAAGCTAATTCTTTTAAATTTCAATCAAATAAATCCCAATGGATAAAACAAAGTATATCACACAGAACATCATTTCCAATTTATTCAAAAACAGATTATATTAATGCAAAAACAACAGATGGACATGATGCTTTTTCACTTTCACAAATTTATAATCATCAAGAAATACTTGAAGAACTTTTTAAACATATACCACGTGATGATTTTCGATGGAGAGAAAAAGATAAAATTATTTTTGATCAAATTTACAAGGCTATATTAGCTGAAAATATTAGCCTTCTAGATTCTTATCCAACTTGGCTTGTTATCAATGAAAAAACTGGTGAGACTCCACTTCACGTTGCTTGTACACAAGGTTGTCCTAAAACTGTATTGCATCTTCTTAACCGTCAATATTCGAATGATGATAATCATGGTCCGAATATTATATTTTTACGAGAAAAACAGCATGGTTTTACTCCAATTCTTTCAGCTGCTTATGCTGGTCAAGTAAAATGTTTTGAACATATGCTTAATGTTATTCTAAAAATTATCACGATTAATAATTATCCCAATACATTCATAAATGATGTCTTAATTGATCGATATGGTCGAACTTTATTACATATTTGTGTTCTTTCAAAACAATTTAATATACTTGAAATATTAATGTTATCAATACAATCAAATCCAATATTATTTGTACAAATTATTGAACCAATGATATTTACATTAGATTATAATGATGAAACACCTCTTCATTTAGCTGTACGTTTAAAATTATATTCTATATGTCAATTATTACTTTCATTTTCTGATAAACTTGATGAAATTCAACAACCTTGTATTTATCTTGATAGAATTGATGGTGAATTAGTTCGATCTATAGATGTATATACAGAGGATATTCAATTAGTTCCATCATATATGCTTTCAATGTTAACTAAATCTCATGTATTTATCATTGGATATAAAAATAAAAATGGACAATCATCATTTCATATGACTATTTTTTATGGATATGAACATATTATGAATCTTTTTCTTACACATGTTAATGTATATGGCATACATTATTTATTAGAACATACAGATGCTAATAAACGAACTCCATTACATTTAGCTGCTTTTTATGGTCATAGTCATATTATAAAAGAATTATTTTTATTAAATGTTAATATTTATGTTCGAGATGATCAGGAATCAACACCATTACATTGTGTTGCACAATGTGTTGGTATTAAATGTTATGATGGTATTGATGCATCTGTTCGTATACTTGACATGTTTTTACAATATATTGAAAATTATCAAAAAAATTCTTTTGATTTCTTAACAGCAATTGATGGTTTTGGTCATAATTGTCTTGAAACAGCTACTATATCAAAAAATCGACCTTTTGTTGAATATCTATTAAATCTTAATAATATTTCTCTATTTAAAAGCCTTTTACGTAATGCTCAATTACTTGATATTCATCATCAATATGTTGATACACCACTTAGAAAATTAGTAAGATTTATGCCTGACTTAGCCTATAGAATACTTGATATATTTATAACACATATTGGTGATACACATGAAGCTCATCATAAAATAATTTATGATTTTGAATTTCTTGAAGATCATTGTTATATACAACAATGGCAACAACATAATATGGCATCTCAAATGATAATAAATAAATCAACACATACATTTTGTTGTCCAATATTTTGTTGTCATAAGCCACTTGAATTTCAAAATCAATTTTATGATAATAATCATCATCGATCATTATTTGCTTATACAACAAATCCTTATATATTAGTACATAATAATGTACTTTCAGTTATGTCTAAATGTGCTAAACGTATTGATTTAAAAGATCATGAAGATGAAAGTAATAATGTTCAATATAGTTATAAATTAATGCATCATCCTCTTTGTTCTCAATTAACACAACTTAAATGGAAACAATTTGGATTGCCATTATTTTTAATATGTTTTTTTATCTATTGTCTTTATTTGATTTTATTTACAATAGCAATGTTACGAAATAAACAATCAGAATATTTTTATCGATTAGTAAATGCTTCATTTCCAAATACATATTATTCTCATGGAACTCCATTGGTTAGTATTTATTTTCTGATACTCATATATAGTTTTTCATAGAAATTTATGTATAAGTTTTAAATAAAAATTTTCCGACTCCTCTTCTCTTAGAAGTTTTAGCAACGAAAAAATGTGCTGAACAATAGTATACTAGTATAAAGAAAAAAAATTCTATTCGTAAAGAAGACAACCGAGTTGTATATTTCATTTTCAAACGAACTGCATTTAGTACTTATTCTAAATGAATTTATAGAATTGTGAAGAAGTTGCTAAACGTCTTGTACAATTAAATGTTCAAGAAGCATTGAAACAACCAGCAGATCGTATTCTTAAAACATTGGTTATTATACTGTTATGGATTCATGTAGTGAAAGATGTTTTATTCATTATTGGTGTACATCGATGTTCTCTTGTATGGCGAATTTATATGGAAAGTATAACACTTATACTTAGTTTTATTTGTTTATACGATGATGATCAATGGCAAGGTCAATTACGTTTTCGTTGTCCAATACAATGGCAATTGGGTGCGTTTGGAGTATTTCTTGCTTGGACAACATTATTATCTTATCTTCGTTTTTTTCCTATATTTGGAGTTTATGTTGTTATGCTTGAAGTAATTATGATTAAATTTTTATGGTTTGCTCCTGTATTAGTAGTATTGATTTGTTCATATTCATCAGCTTTTTATATGCTTCTACAAAATCAACCTGTTTTTTCTACGATTCCTTTTGCTTGGTTTAGATCAGGTTTGTTTATTATTAAATTTTATTTTCTATAATAATAATTATTTTATTTTATTTTTAGCTTTTATGGTATTAGATACAGGTTATGAAGATAGGTTCTTTGGTCCAGATAGTGAAGAATATATTAGTCTTTATCCAGTTCTTTTTGTTCTTTTTCTTTTCTTTGGTGTTACAATGACAATTCTCGTCAATAATCTTCTCATCGGTAAATTAATAATAAACAGATTAAAATTATAATAATTTTTAATTTTTATTATTATCTAGCTTTAGCTGTTGGTGAAATAGCAGATTTATCGGTTATTGCACGTGTACGTAATGCAACAAGACGATATGAATTATTAAGTCAATGGGAAATATTTCGTTTACAATTTTTATGGTCACCTGCTCCACTTCATCTTCGTTATGAACATTTTGAAAAAAAATGGAATCGACAATTACAAAGATGTTTAAAATGGATTTATCGTTATTCATTTCTTAAAGCTAACGATTGAATATCTTTAACAAAAATAAACTAATGCCTTTTTTTTCTTTTTGTTAATCGAAAAATATGAATTTAAGAACAGAATAAAAAAAAAATTTGAAATCTTATTTTGACATCTCTTAGTTTAGTAAGAATTGAAAGCATGGTAAAGTCAAGGTTTGTTATTGTTGTTCTGTTTGTTCCAATAGAAAAAAAAAAAGAAAAAGAAAAAAAAAATTACTAAAGTATTCTGTTGTTAGAAACAAGTCATTTCTTTTTTCTTCTCTTGTCGTCGTCATTTGAAAAGAATAATCGTAAATGTTTTATGTGCCAGCAACAGACAGTTATTTAAGATTACCGGTAAGCTATGTACCAGTCTATTCAACTACATTAGATCAAACATTAAGTGAAAACTCAAATTTAAAATTGAATAATGATATTTATCAAGTTAAAAAAGAATTAGCTGAATTACGAGAAGAATTAAGTGATTTACGTTTAGAAAAAGAAACGTGTCCTATATGTTCATCTACTGTGTCAACAAAACGACCAATTCAATGTGATGAAAGTTGTACAATTTGTTATCCTCGTATTCGTAATCAAGAACGAGATGATAATTATTTTCGAACATCATCACCAATTCATTATTGTTCGATTTGTCATGATTATGTTATTGATGAAACGTATTCTCGAATATCTCCACGCCCATCTCAAAGAACTACAAAAACGAAAAAAATTGAAGAACAAGATAAATTATCCGAATATTTATCTCGACAACTTGAAATTCAACGTCTTCGTCAGAGTTATATACCTGAACAACGACCAGTATGGATTCCTACAGCATACAAACAGGATTATCCTCATCGACGATGGGTTACTCGTCAATTACATTTCTCAGAACCTTAAACATATTAATTACATAGATAGACAATCAAAATGAATAGTTTGAAATTTTTTAAAAGAGTTTCTTTTATTTTTTTGTTTTTTTATTCATTAATGCAAATGAGAATTAAGAAATGTGAATTCTAAACTGAAAAAAAAACATAATATTTCCCTTTAGAAGAAGAAGATTCATATAATGTCTATCTTTTGCAATAATATCAAGTCTTTTTTATTGGGTTTATTCGGCTTTAAACATGAACAAATCAATATCATATCATTGGAATACATTTTCATTATATTTATTAACTAGATGGCTGTCTATCGATAACTATTAATCAAACAATATTATTTCTTTATATTGTGTAGCATCCGCATATTATAAAAATTTAATATCATAAACAAACATTCCGGGAATAAAGATAAATCTTCGAAATTGCACAAAATGAAAGCATATAAGTGCTATGAAGAAAAAAAAAACATCAATTACGATTTGTTAAGTTTTACCTCTACTAAGCAGCCTTTTTTTTTATATGACCAAAAAGAACGCAAGAAAAGCGAATATGCCGCAGGGCAAAACAAGCATACTTTACCACGTGGAGAACAAAAAAACACTTCAAATAAGATATCTGGGACACAGAAGAAAGCACGCCGTTGTACAGATAGTAAGATTATTTTCTTTCTTTTTTTTTATAGTAAAAGAGAATATATAATAAATGATCTGAATTATATTTTATACATAAAATTCTTCATTTTTGTAAGATTAGAAAATAAATCTAGAACGAATTTTATTGTTTGACCTTGATATAATATTGTATTTTGTTTTAATATTAGATTCAATCGAGAAAAATATTTTAACTATTGCGTATATATAGAGAAACATTTATAATACAATTCATATGCATCTGATCCAAATGTCTTGCATATTATTACAATTAATTAATTATTTTACTTTGATTGAAACTGTATAATGTTTCTTTTTTCATTTTAAAGATTTAAATAATGTCTGCTGAACAATCGTTAAAAAATAGTTATACATATGTGGGTATATTACTTGTCTTAGAAGGTTTATCATTTCTTATATTTCCACATTTAACAACGAAATTATTATTTTTATCACCTCTTGAAACAGCACAAGCAGAACGATATGCAAGACTTGCAGGTTTAGCTATAGTTGTCATTGGATATTATTATTGTGTTGCTGGAAAATATACATTAATTGGTTTTTTCAGGTAATACAAAAAAAAGAAAAATTAATGAACAAATTAGATATAATTGTTCTTCTTGTATATTTAGAGCTAGTGTAGTTGGACGCATGTGTATTCTTCCTATAATAACTGCAATGATTTATTTCTAGTAAAAATTGTTTTAATTAAGAATTAGCTTTTATGAAATTAATTTTTAATTTTAGTTCGCTTGAAGTATCATTTCTAGTTTTTGGTATTCAGGATTTATTAACAGCTATTTGGTCATATTTTTGTTTGAAAACATATGATGAAGAACAAGCAAAACAAAAAAAATGAACTTTTATCATCATTTTCTTTTTAATCAAACTTTATTCTAAACTTTTGCACTAAATATTCTTTATTTACATCTATTTATATATCATAGTTTTACAAAATTTAAATTAATAAATTTTAAAAATATGACATATGTTGTACTAGTTGCTGTAGGCGTAAGTATAGTCGAGTCTATGATTAAAGGCATAGTTGTAGATCTATGTGATGACGAAGTGAAGGTTCAGATTTACAGATCACTCACAAATCCACAAAAAAGATATTGAAAAAATGTTCATTTGAAATGAGTAGAAGTTTATACTCCGTCTTAAAAACTTGCTGGCGATCTTTTTTTTATTATATTTATATTTCTAATCGAATAAAATTGATCTTTATGTAAAAAGAAAAAAAGCTACAGGAATAATTCTTCGGACTAAAATAATCAATAAAAGTTTGTGAAGAAAATCTAATAAATATTTAATTAAATGACAAGACGACAAATATAGTTGAAAATAGATATATTGTTTAATTGAATATGTCAATGATTTTTTTCCAAAATTGACCATCTTTTTTCCAAATGACAACACAATTTCCTTGTTCAGTATTTACTTTATAAGTACTAAATAAAAGACACAAAAAAAAGAATAAATTTTGAAGAAATAATTTCGTAAGATAAAAACCTTATTTCAATAAGATAATTTGAATCACATTGAATAACTTGTTCAGTAGATAATTCAACCTGTGTATTTCCAGCCTTTTTTGTATCAGAATAATATTTTTCGATTTGATTTAAACCTTGATAAATTTGTTTATCGGAAGAAAAAAGTCGAGCATTATCAGCATAAGAACTAACAGCTTCTTTAATTTGATTATTATTAAGATGATTTTGAAAATCTTGGTTGAGTTTATCGATGATTTCGAATGACATTCTGATTCTGTCCTTCTCTTAAAATGTAAATGAACAAATAACTATAGAGATTTTAATCAAAACTCTTTTCCATTTTCTCTCTCTCTTTCTCTTATTTATTCGTTTTGTTTCTTCTTGTCAATACAAGATGGAAAAAACTTCGTCTTGTATGTTCCGATCAGAAAATATTTGAGCTCGATTTATTTTTAAATCAAATCACAAGAACAAACCCAATTCAAGGACTTCGAGATAATGAGTTTTTCTTCTCGCCGGATGTAAATCAGCACAGAAAAATAAACCTATGATTCTCATTACCATCTCGTTCTACCATTTCAAATAATGAAAAAGAAATAAAATAGAAATATCTTTTTTTTTTGAGCTGATTTTGACAATCGAATCGAATATTCGAAGGTTGTTTTTTGTGAATTACAAGTCTTAATTTATGATCAATTGAAAAAAATACTTATTTTCGAATATCCATCTTTCTCAAGTTAAATAAAATAGCTCATAAGAAAATCAGTTAACGAATAATATACGATTTCTTCGTGATGATTTGAACACTTGTTTACGTAACAATCGCATATCACTTACAGAGCATTGGAATCGCGCTATCATGGAGACTATACCCTTCAACTTGAGTTCTATGCTTTCTAATGGCTTGTATAAATTTAGTAACTTGGAGGTCATCAATAAGCTTTTTCACAAATCATCATATATCGACAATCGCTCTTGATGAGTTCTATTCAACCATTCATTGTTCAAGTAATCTGTAAACAAATTTATTCAAAAAACTCTACGGTAGAATTCTAGGAAATTCGGTTCTTGGAATAATGGCACAATGTTCTGATCACCTTCAATTTTCCCATGGCGAGTAAAAAATGGTCAATCTAACTGATCCAACTTTACTAACGGTAAATGATATGAGATGAATGCAGTTGTTCCTGTATTTGAAACAACATTATTTAGAACGAATAGATATAACTCTTAGGAAATTTGAATTTTCAAAATGTTGCATGTAATCAACTTTTTATAGCATACTTTTCAAACAGTTTTAGACTACAACTATTTGAAATAAATGAATATCAATATAACACCATATTGATTGTGCTCAACATTTTAGAGTGTACAAGAGATACAAAATTTGTGTCGAAAAACTGATCTTTTACAAGTGGATGTCTTTCTATCAATCATTTAAAATCAGTATTGATATATAAACTATGAGCGCTCTTTGTTGATGATTTCAACGACTTGTTTATGTTGTCGATAGTCGAAAGTTCTGAAAATATTTGAATTATTGCCTTAGATTGGTTCCGAAAATTCCTGATGCCTAAACAATTCGTACAGCGAGAAAACAATGAAATATCATGTACGATTAGACGAACAGGGATGGATTTGGACAGAAAAAAGGTCTAAGAAACATTAGTACGGATCGTACCGTCTGTCAGGATTCCAGCGAGGAAACCGTTCAAAAAAAGGACATCCCATACGTTGTTTGTTAGAACGCTACGATGTTATCGAACATATTGACTATCATCAACGAACGACCTACTGAGAGCAATAGGAAAGATGATGATTGTTTTTTCCACCCATTCTATTCAAATTGCTTAGTTTCGATGCATTGACTATAAAATAAATAATTGTTTCAAAAAGCTACAGAGAATATATCGTCATTGGTTGTACGCTTCAAAATCTTTGATGAGTTCTATTACCACGATTGAAATCGTCATAATAGTAGTTTTTATTGTATCATGACTTTCAAATAATGATTTCAATTCCAGTATTTGTTGTAAGAGACATTCAACTCAACATTTTCGCATGACTGAACAGAGCGCATTGAGTTACGTTGAAGAAGTACCTTTCTAATTTTATTTTACATCAAATAAAGCTGTTAATATTTCATACAACTATGAATATAATAATTTTGTCGTTTTATACAACTGTAGAAAGTCCTTTTCGTTTTGCAACACATAATTAACTAGAAAAAAAAAGTAATTTATATAAATTGCTTTTTTCTTTAGTCAATTATGTGTTGTGAACCGGAAAAAAGTGTTTACACTTATACAGAACGACAAAATCATTACATTAACAGTGGAACGAAAACTTAACAACCTTGGCGATTTAATATGAAACTCGAAATTTTTTTGAAGCTTTTTTTTTTGAAACTTTTTTGACCATTGAACAGACACTTCTTTGATTTAACTAGATGCGTTCTATCCAATCATGCATAAAAAAGTGAAAAAATATTGTGCGAAAATTTTGAGTTGCGCACATCTTATTCGAGACGAACAAACCTTTGTGTTGTTTCTTTTATTCCTTTGTCCTTCGCAAGGAAATAAGCATGAATGCCATATGATTTTGTTCTGTTCTTTATTTGTACAACTTGTCACTTCCCATAGCATGTCTTTCGTATGAAGCATCAAACCAAATATTTCATTGAATTACGAGTAAGAAATTTGTATGTAGAAACGGTTGAATTTATTGAAGTCAATGATCATCTGTTGTAGAGATGAAGGATTTATTTTAACCTAAAACTAAGTTAAGCTTGATTGAATAAAAAAACAACAGTCACTATTTCATGTTTTTTAAATATTAAATGTTAACAAATCACTTAATAGAAGTGATTGTGTTACACAAATATTATGCAACTATGTCGACATCATAAAAGCATATTAAAAAAAATGAATTACATATTCTGATTATGTGCAAGAAAATAAATCGAATAATACAATGAAAGCAATTTCATTAATACTTCCCACAAGACTTAATTTTATTATTGTTATAAAAATAAATTTTTTTAGGTTTTCATCGTTGTACAAATATCTTGTAGAAAAAGCAATCGTATATTGTGATTGTACTTGAAATTTTCTATTATTCAATATTTTTATCTATTAATTTGCATTTACTTATTGGAAAATAATTTGAATACAGAAAGCATTATTTCAAATTGACAGGTACCAAGATTTTCTATTCTATCTACATTTTTCAAATTATAATTATCATTGAAATCAATTTTTATAAAAATAATTATAGATTTTGGTAGTATTTGAAATTCAATAGTACTTAATAAAAATTATACTATATGATAATTCTTGTTTCAAAAACATATCTCGACAGTGATGAAAAGCTTAAGAAACTTATTTCGACAATACTAACAAAATTAAGTCTGTAGGAATCTGTTGATGATACCGCTTTCATTTCACACGATTTATGAATGATTAAAATTTCAAGCTTTGTTTAGAATACATTATTATTCTTTTCAATTTGCTTTTATGCTAAAAATCTATTTAAAATCAAAACTGCAACTATTTGTTTCAATATTATTCATTGAACAAAAATGAATTTTTTTATTGATTGATAATATCGTTGTTCTTCATAAACTAATTCGTATATTCAGCTTAGATATATTTTGATTGAATTTTAACTTCTGTCAACACAAATTGATTTATTTTAAAAGACTTTTTTCTTTCTCAAATAGAATTTATGACTAGTTCGAGACTCTCGATTTTAATCATTAAGCCACAAGCATAAGAATCTCTTGAAGATTGATATATATTTGTTCCTACGTTTCTATTGAACACAGATAGAGTCGTATTTAAGATAGTTAAAAGATATGTTCGCCGTCCAATGATCAAGGAAGAATATTGAATAAATCGCTCAAAATTATTTCTTTATATATATATATATATCTTTATATGAATTCATTTTAGATCGAGATTATTTGAGATATTCATACAATAAATTACATCATTCGACTCATTTTCTTTTAAGAGAAATGATACCAGTAACTGAATCAAATTTATGTTCAACTTGCAATAAATCTTTAGCTAGATGCTTTTGTATTGGATGTAAAAAATATTTTTGTTCGAAGGATTTCAAAGAACATAAACAACAGCTATCGATAATATTCAATAATGAAATAGTAACATCACACAATGAACTTCTTAATCGAATTCAAAAGTTAGAAAAATCAAATTATTTTTCATCAGATCTTTTTGCTCAAATTGAAGAATGGAAAAAAAGCACAATTAACAAAGTAGAAAAAGCAGCAGAAAGAACTCATCATAATATTATCGAACTAATCAATATACAAAGAATAATAATAACAAAACAACTTGAACCAATTACAAAAGAAATTCGTTGCCATCGAGAAAAAGAAAATTTTCTTGAAAATGATATTGATCGACTTCGAAAAAAAATTCATGAAATCCAACATAAACTTGAACAATTTATTCAAAAAGATACAACTATAACCATCATTGTCGATAATAAACAAATTGATTGGAATCGACTCATCTATATTCGAGAAGAACAACAAGACTGTGAGTATATCATATTAAAGCTGTAGAAGAAAAGAAATTTGTCATTCCATGAAACTTTTGAATTTCATTTAATCGATCTAAATTAATTCATTCATAGATAAGAGCTATTTTGAGAGAAACACAATGTTCAAAAAATAAGAATGAAATATCATTCAAAACTTTTATTTGGATACAACTAAGAATTTTCTCATCCATACTGAAACACATTCAACTTTCTGAAAGGACTCTGTACATATTTGATGACTACCTTTAAATTGAATACCCACCTATATCATTTTTCAAAATAGTTCATGTTACGTCTCACATTGCTGTTGAATCTTGTGTGTTTTTGATAATTCATTTCATCGCTTCCTTCATACTCAACACAGATCACGTTAGTCATCTATTCTGAAAATGTCGATTTTGAGACTGTTTACTGCATATGATGCTGTAGCTCAGAATATGGTGGCACAAATTGTGATTCTGTCAGAAATAGAGTATCATCTAACCACAAATTTTGAATAGTACTAGCTTCTGAATTGGAAGGTTCTATAATCAAACTACTGCATTACTGCAGAAAAAAGGCGTCTTTTTCGCTGAATTCAAAGAATATCATTTGGCCAAAAAGGCACGAAATAGCTCCACATAGCATAGAATTGCATGCCATATCGTTAGTGAATGCTTAAAAATCCAAAATTACAAGAAACGTAGAAATTCAGAAGGCCGGCATGCATGAATCGGTTGCAGTATCTTTCACGAGGGAACTCAGGACTAGAAATTTGTTTGTCATTTTCGAAAGATTTATTTATGATAATGAACAGGTGGATTACATACTGATTTTCATTTGGTAAAAAAATCCCTTAGTGATATAGTGAATAACAGTAAATTGGGGTTCTGCTATACTTAAACACTGTCATAATAATGCATAGTATTTAATAAGCTAACCTATTCAGAGCGATAAATCGATTTAGACTCGAAGTCATTTGATATGACTATCGAATAAACCTATTCATTCTTTCTCTCTCTTTGTTTCAGCACAATTACTAGCCAATGCATATCTGAGTACAAACACACAATGGATGCAAAATGGTGTCACTGTCGCTGGAGGAAAAGGACATGGTAGTGCAATACATCAGCTTAAAAACCCATGGAGTTTATGTGTTGATGATGATCAAACTATCTACATTGCTGATTTCTACAATCATCGCATTATGGAATGGAAAATCGGTGCGACGTCTGGTCGAGTTGTAGCTGGTGGAAATGGACAAGGAAATCGTTCTGATCAATTGAATTGTCCGACAAATATAATTATTGATAAAGACAATGACAGTCTCATCATCTGTGATCGTGGCAATCAAAGAATAGTTCGATGGCCTCGTCAAAATGGTACAAATGGAGAAACAATCATCTCAAATATTGAATGCTCGTCCTTGACAATGGACAATGATGGGTTTCTCTATATTGCCGATTGGGATGAACATGAAGTCAAACGACATCGAATGGTAGAAAGTCGAGGAACAGTGATTGCAGGAGGAAATGGACAAGGAAATCGTCTTGATCAATTGAGTCACCCGACATACGTCTTTATCGATCGGGATCATTCAGTTTACATATCAGATCACAGTAATCATCGTGTGATGAAGTGGATGAAAGATTCGAAACACGGTATGGTTGTAGCTGGTGGCCAAGGTCAAGGAAATAGTCTTACACAATTATCAAATCCTGGCGGAGTTGTCGTGGATCAATTAGGTACTGTCTATGTAGCTGATAGTTGGAATCATCGAATAATGCGTTGGTCTCAAGGAGCTGCACAAGGAAGTGTCATTATTGGTGGAAATGGTCAAGGAAGTCGATCGAATCAGCTATCTTATCCCATCGGTTTGTCATTTGATCGAGAGGGTAATCTTTATGTAAGTGATCAAGGAAATCATCGCGTACAAAAGTTCAATATTGATCGAAGTTGATGAATTTCCAAAAATTGACATTGCTTTAGCATTTTTATCCTTATTGAAAATAGTTTTATGGAGTAAAATTTCAAAATCCTACGGATCTAATCGAAATTGAGAATTCGATTATTTTGCAAAAAAAATTACAATTATATTCGATTATAATCCATTAGAAAAATTTTAATCGAATAGGAAATTCGATGCTTATCGATTATGATTTTAATTTTGTTGCACAATAGTCATGGTGAAAATCCTCAAATACTTGACTTCAGTCTGATTTTGATTGATTTTTTATACTGTTGTACTTGGTTTGTAAACGTTAAGATGAAATAAAAATTAATAAAAACCATTCTCATGTAAAAAACACGGAATAAATCGATTAAAATCAGCTTTTTTGTGTTTTTTACGTGACAATTATCTTTTCTAATCCGATGCTATCGCTTCCGCTATAAGGTATATCAAAAACTAATATAGCCATTTCACTTGTAAGCCAAGTACAAACCATTCCCTCTTAGAACCTGCTGAGTTATACTTGGACTCAAAGCCGATCAACTCGGCTCTGAAAACTACCTGTTGATCGGGCTCTCATTCAGGTTCGGAGTTGTGCTAGTGTGAATAACGATCTACCATATTTCATTCAAGCATATTCATCTGATTTATCCTAACAATCTACTTCTATTACGTTTTACCGATATTCACCAATTTCTTAATAATCCATTGGCAAGATTACAATCAATTTTTTGAGGAAAATCAGATTTTTCTCAGTAAATACCTAAACACATAAGCCGCAAGTTCAGTACAGTGGCCATAACTCGGCTGCCAATGTGTATACAGACAAGCCGTTTTAGTATTGTTCTATTCCGACCAAGGCCTCATCGTGCGATCAATTTGAGCACAAATAGTCATTTACAATTGGTCTAGTTTCTCCATCATCTAGAAAAGTATCCGCTATGCAGAAGTGAAATCAAATGCCAATTCATTAACATTCTGAAAAAAATTCATAATTACCAGTCCAATCTTAATTCATAGTTTGAAAATTTTAGATAATTGTCTTTTCCTTTTGTGATTAAGAGATTCAACAATTTATTACAATTCTTTACAACATATTGCTTTCAACTCGCAATAATTCATCAAAACATTCCACATAATTTAGGATAGAATTTCTACGATGTTTAAATGATGTTTTTTTTTGTTTATTTTGCAATATCTTGATTGATAATTTTACAATACAACAAAAAAAAAAAGAAACTCTACACAGTTCTTTGTTTTCAGAAGTAAAATCTTCATAAGAATTTGATAATTGTCCCATTAATTATATAACAATACCTTATCGTTGATTGTTAGGTACAATAGCAGCATGATTTGAATTACGAAAAGTAATTGAAATTGAACATGGAATCCATTTTAAAAATTCTTTTCGAAATAATTTTGATGTTAAACAATGAAAATAAAAATTCAATGAATAATTTAATATTGTTATAAAGTCCAGTATAGATATTAATAAAAGATAAAAAGCAAATGATACTTGAATATGCAATGTAGATATTGTAAATTCCAATAAAGCAACAGGAAATGTTGTAAGAAAAAAAAGCATTAGAGTAACAATCATGAGTATTAACATTTGTCGATGAAGAAAACGAGCACGTCGTTTTTCTTGTTGATTTAAATTTATTTGTCGCAAAGGAACAATTCGATTTCGATGTTTATGTATATTTATAGTTATACCTACAAGAAAAAATATCATACAACTTGCTGGAATAATATTGATAATAAGAATAGTAATAACTGGAAAAATTTCATTATAAAAATATGAATAACTTAAATAACGTTTATCAGCACCACAATAAGTTGTTATTCCTGGTGCAATTTGACCAAACATTGGTGTAAGAAGATGAACATATAGAAGACAAACAAAGAAAAGAACAATAATAATTAAATAAATAATTGTTCGTGGTGAACAAATTTGTTGAGCTTTAATTGGAAATTGTGAACGTATCCAACGATCACATGAAACTAAAATAGAAAACAAATATATATGTTTTCTGTTTTTAATTTAATTAGAATTACTTGTTGTAAGCATCCATGCACTGAAATTTGTCGAAAGATAGGATGTAAAATGTCGAAATTGACAATTTTTAGCATAATTTGATTGATCAGGAACATGAAAACCATAAATAATTAAAACATATAAAGATAATAACAGATAAATTGTATCGGATATACTCAATGCAAGGAAAAGTATACCAGTACTAATATTTCTCAGTGTTTTACGTGAGAATGTTAATATTTGACAAATATTACCTGTAAATCCAATAATCAACATAATTATATATCCATAAAGAAAAATATTCGATGAAACAGAGACATAATATAAGTCTAATGATGAAAAATCAGAATAAGATAAAACTGAACTGTTCATGTTTTAAATGTTGACTTTAGAAAAAATATTAACTCAGTTATATGTGTGTTAAAGAATCTATAATTATTGTATTGACAAGATAATTTATGTAGATGATATGGAAATTGTCTTGTAAACACCAAATTTTATGATTAAAATATTATAAAATATAGTTTAAATAGTTTCAATTCAAATATATAGTCTACGCCAAAAATCATGAACCACTTCTTTTTGAAGACTTGTATTACAATTAGAGGCAATTAATTTAATATCATTATATGGCTATATATATCCAGGTTAAATATTATAGATTGGTAAACGACTAGCATGGATACTTAAGCACCAGAAAATCGAATACTGAAAAGTTAAGTATGCAATTAAAAATGAATATGGAGGTTGTGTATGAAAATATGAGCTTATCAGAATAGCTTGGGATGTGGGCGTTCTCTTCTTTTATGCTGGTACTCACATTCATATATCATCATTGATCTTTCCATAGATATCATAATTACTTTCATTTCTTTTTTGCATGTGTAATTTTCAGTGCTAACGTTTCCATGTCCTGATCATTGCCGTACTTGAATATTCCTGCTTAAGTTTCCGTGCTCAACTTTCATCAATCCATATATTTGTTGAATTCAGAGTAATGCTTCAATATAAACTAAATTTACCATCAATAAATAGAAACTTAAGTATTAACAAAAAATATGTTATAAAAAAAAACAGCTAGACATCATACTTAGAAATCATGTAGTTTAACCCTTTACCCCCCAATGGGTCACATATGACCCATTTGTAGACATGATCACAGAAAAATAAAGAAAGCATGAGACTGAAAAACTCTCAAGACATTATTTGTAGGGAATTTCACAAGCTACCAATTGGTAAAAAAAATATTTTGTTTCATTGCTCTGCCTTCGAGATATATGACTTACAAAATCGATAATTTTGAAAAAAATGCAAAAATTCGAAATTTTATAAACAAAATGTTCTCTATTTGCAATCGATAAAGGTCTTTTGGAATTTCTGTGCGATATTAATCGATGAAGAAGTCCACTGCTGAATTAGATCCGTTTCGAAAGCTTCATGATAACTCCGCAAATTATGCATACTAAGGAATACAATTGACCATGTTGTCACTGTTAGACAGATGGAGGGTAATCAAGAACAAAGTTAATATATGCGTTATAGACCTCAACTCATGAGAAGTTGAAATAATATTTATGATGAATTAAATTCCTTCAGACGTTACAAAATGGCTCTGAGTAAAATAGGCTTAAATTTGACAATAGATGTAAAAAAAAGCATGTATTCGTTGATGTTAATTTTTATCGGTTTACTCGTTGCGCTTTTCCTATCACTTCAACAGTATGAGATAGATGCTGCTTCTGTCCAGTCAATAATGTGGTCAAAGAAAAAAAAATTAAGTCTTATGATGTCGTTCAATTCCCATTGTCCACCACATGATTTTTACATCAATCAAACCACCCTACTCTAGGAGCAGGACATTCAGTGGATTAGGCCACACCATTGGCATATTTGACAACCTAATACTCTATTCATAAAGTTATTTCATCAGTGACTCTTCTGGAACCGCTATGGGGGGTAAAGGGTTAATCAAGAACAAAGTTCCATGAACCATCGAATCAGTATAAAATAACCTACTTCCAGAGATAATAGAGGCATTTCATTTTCTTGTAGTTTCTTTCTTTGTGTCGTTCTAATTTGTAAATGGTAATGGAAATTTTAATGAACTACTTGTCGTGCACTTGATAGCCTTTTCTATGAGTAGTATCAGTTATACGGCTTGTCCAAACGTAACGCTGTTACGTTTTTGACACACTCTTCTTCAACTATCTCGAAAAGTTTAAGAGCTAGGAAGTTCGTTCAAACGTCATTCGACGCAGCTTATCGAACTTTATTTATCATACAAAAATGGCCTTTTTTGACTGAAGTCTCAGGCATCTAGAAAGGTTTTATCATGGCGTAACGCTGTTACATAAAAGGACCCTTTTTTTCCAGTGCCGCCAAGAAAACTCTAAATTCTTGCGAAACCATTTCTTCAAATGTAATGCTCCGAGAGTCCTTTTTGTAGAGCATTGAATAGGCTTTCAGGCAGTAAAAAAGATTTTCTCTAAAACGTTTTTGCTCCGATAAAAAATGCAAAAAACAAACGTAACGCTGTTACGTTTTTCGTAACGCTGTTACACAGTTTTTTGTTGACCAATTTTGAGGCACTTAATGTACTCAGAATGACTTGATTTTTCTAAGTGTTACTGTTTTCTATGTAGACAATCCCCTATGCAAAAATGAGATTGATACATCGATCTGAGAGCTCATAAACTGAGCAGGAAGTTGGGAATTGTATCGAAGTCTCCAATTTGTTCTAAGCTGCCAAAGTCAAAAATAAATAGACCATTTTGTAGAGAATTTAATTCTGCATCGAATGGTATGTCTCTTGACCTTTGTTGAAAAAATTTCTTGGTTAAAAAATCCAAAATACGGTTTTTGAAAACTTTAAAATCCAGTTTTCGATATCAAAATCTGATTTTTATACAAAATTAATACCAAATTCGTAATCAGCGTAAAAAACTGCATCTAGTACCCCACTGAGACCTGTCCAACTCGAAAAAAAATTTTTTCAAAACTTGATCAGCGAAGTGTCGCGTTACGTGGACAAGCCGTATAGCGATATTGAACTATACATTAAAACTCAAAAAGATTTCATAAAGATAGATGTTACAGTTTAATAAAGATAATAGTTATGTTCGAAGGTGAATAAGTCAGTTTTTTTTTGATATAAATCAAGTTTCAAATCATCGGCTTACATTTTTTTCAAACTTCATGATTAACTTATGTATCAATTTACTGAAGAAATGTTTACATCAATCCCTGATTATATTTTTAGCATTGTTAACGTTTGTCTACAAGTGATGATGTTGTAGGAAGTATCAAAACCTTTCTTGACAATATGTTCAATGATTTGTATTTTATTGATTGATTAATGAAAAATAAATCTATTTCAATGATTATTATCATGACTAAAACTATTAGTTATTTCATTGTTGATAAGTGCAAAATTCAAGTTACTATTTTTCTTCGACATTGTTCTTTTCAATCTCTAAAAACAAAACTTTTACGTTTTGATATTTAGTATTGTTAATAATTTTTCATCATTCATGGCATTTATTTCAAGTGCTGTTGCCGACTAATAATAATTATGTTCAAGTATTAGTAAAAAATAAAATTTTTATATTAGAAAAAAAAGGAGTATGGGTGGTTAGTCAATTCAAAAAGAATCACACCCACACCCTCTTTGTTCTTTTTATTTTATCAAGTGATGACAAACTACAGTAATATAAAACTTGAAACTTGAATTCAATTGAGATGTCAAGTTTCAAGTTTAACATGTATGAAGCATTGATGAGAGCTGAAAATTACTATCAATTCTAACAGAACTACTCGAATTTTATACGAAGTCTTCGTATCACGTTCGAGTGTATGCAAAATTTTTGACATCAATGAACACTAATCAACAAAGAAGATAGCTTGATTTCTGAATGGGTTGGTATGATATCATATAGACTGAGCAACGAGTTGAACTTTGTTTTGTAAACTATATTGATAAAGTTTTTTGTTCTCTTTTTTCATAGTTTTTATATTGATGAGTTTCCAACAAGTGAAATATCCTTGAAATATTAAATGAAGAAAACCATAGAGTGAGTCACCTCGCGCAGCTAATATATTAACATCTTCACGAATGATTCGAACGCATTCGAATGCTTGATTTTCAATATCTGGGATATTATCTTTAGGGTTAAAGTTTTTATTTAGTGAACTTTCGATAGATTGAATGCATATTTCTTGCATTTTTTTTTCTTCATAAATAAGACCTGATGCAAAATTTCCATGAATATAACTTGAATATTTATAAAAATTTGAATTGATTCACTCATTGAAATGGTTAATCTTTTACTACCCCATAAACTTAACATAGAATTAACAATTGCTTCATATAGTAAGATGCGTTGAGTATGTAATAGTGACCCTTCTACGTGACTAAAAACCACATCACAAATAAATGACATTAAACAAGAGTTAGAAGCTATATCAAGTAGCTCAATATGTTCTGTTTTTTCTAGTTCTTTCTTAATTGCTTTATCATGATTCTCTTCTAGATTAATTCATAGAAGATCTTAAGTATCAAGTATACGCTGATGAACACAAAAAAAAACAATAGCCGACAAAATCTTTCATATATTTCATATCCATAGGTCGAATCCTATAATAAGCTAATTGGCCAAATAGTCAACTCAAATATCGATCATTCAAAGCAGAAGCCTCCATAGTCATTTGAACATAAGTATCAGCAAAGCTTTCAACAAGATTGATAATTTTTGAAAGTTCATCTGAAGCAAGAATCTCATCAAAAACATCAAGTATAATAAGAGCTTGACCTTGTTTCATGTAATCGTGAAGAGCACATAATAAATTATCAATAGAGTTTGAAGAGTTATCAACTATTGTTTTGCCCATCCATATATGCTTCCTAGTATAATCAAAAAAAGTGAGTGATGGTTGTTCTTTCAATATTACAGTATAGTTACCAAAACGAATTAGAAATGCTATACGAAGAACAAGATGATGAACAAGCCATCGAATAAAACTTGTTTTTCAACTCCACAAGTCATCCAAAATAATAATCCAATATTTCGATCGAGTAATATTTTCTTCAGTGATATCATCTTCTTTCGAATAGTGATCTCTTTCAAACATCGACATCATGTAGGAAGCTGCGATCATAATCGTCGTGATTCATTTCTTTCGAATGACTTAGATTTATCAGATTTGAATTAAATGAATGTACGAGTGAGAGAAAAGTGACATGATTTCCATTTATATTCTAATTGACTTTCATCTTCGAAAGAAATTTGATGGAAATTATGAGCAATTTAAGCAACAACATCACCATTTAGATCGATAAGAGATACACTTTTGTGTAGTTCAATACAACAACAAAGATAAACTTTGATCGTATGGAAATGTTTTTCACGTAGTAGACTAAGTTGTTCTATATTATATTTATTGATTCTCTTTTCGAATACATCCAATCTTTGTCTTATTGTTTCATCCGAAACTTTTTGAACAAAAATTTACTGATCATGATAAGCATTGAGCAGTATTTGAATTGTTGCTTTATACTTATCTGTTAAATCATCTACATGCTGAGCGAATGGTCATTGAAGTCGAAGTAATAAAGATTCGAGATCTCGTTAGATCATTCCTTTCAGTTTAGCTTAATTTTCACTACAACTAATGATCGCCTCATTGATCGCTTTTAATGTTTGTACTATATCTTCAAATATATGTTTTTTTTTCTTCTATGTCCATTGTATTCAATGCATATTAAAGTTGATTTAAGGCTATAGAAATCAGTCTCAAATATTCTTGACGTACTATGGCATGTTTTATTGGCTGTATAACTCTGCCCAGTGTTCTTAGTACTGATATAGTAGATGTCATTTTAATTTCTACACATTTATGTTAAATCAGTAAAGCATAATCAATTTAATACTAGTTAAAACATTGTACCTTGAAAAAAAAAAGAAATGTAATTAAAACTATTGCCGATGTTTTCATCTTCTGACTTCCTTAATGTGTGTGATTGTATGCGTTGCATGTGCCTCCGTCTACTCAATAGAGCTACCTTTTTATCTCTTCTTTCCTCTGACTTTCACATATAACATGCCTATTTCAAAATTTCTTTGACTCATAAAGAATGCAGCCTTGAAATATTTTTTGCTGTTATGTTGGAAAAAACCAACTATTTTTTTTTTTCTTCCGATTAAAATTGAAAGAAAAAAAGCTTCCTAGCCCAACCTCTTGAAAGTTGAACTGTCTACACAGCAATAAATCTTTCCATGGAAACTATTCATTTTGGCTGAGATTTTCGACACCTTATATTAATACTGAAATAATCTTTGTGATCAAAATTTCATATTTAACATTCAATACTTGATTGTTTTTTCATCTTATATTCTCATATTGACTAATATGTAATAAATTCGATAGAACTTGAGAAGACTCAACGAGATGATCCGTTGTGTCCTAGGCTTTGCCTAGTCCTAATAGATTTTATTTAATAAATAAAATCTCAGTTCAACCGCTTTTTTTCACTTGGAACGATTATCTTGCTACTAATTTTAGTGATAGTATGTACCAGCTAATTCCTACTTTGAATATTAAAGAAATATGATTCTCAATATGTCGTATATGAAACTGAAAAATTCTCTTGATTTTTATTATTGATTATGTTTGTTATTATTTATTTGATGCATAGTTTCTCATATCACTGTTCTTTCAACATCTTTTCAATAGATTTATGCATTAATAAACAATAAAAATATATCAATTAGAATATTCTTAGTTAAATTATTGATAAAAACTAATGAAAAAAAAAAAAAAAAAAAATCATAGCTTGTTCAATTTCGTGGTAAACAATGCTTGTTAAACATTTCTAATGCTATACGTTCATATTGTTTTTTATCAGTATCAAATAAATGACCTGCTTCTACAAAAAAAAGAGATAAAAATACAGATATAGATAGACATATAAATAAATAATACAAACCAGGATGTTTAATTTGATCTGTGCTAGGTTTATCAATAATGTTAGTTACGTCTTCAATAACCTGGAGTAAAGTTGTTGTTGGTGTCCATGCAGCATCATTAACCAAGAGATTAGTGCACACTTCACCTAAAAAAAAAATAAATAGATAATTTCAAAATAGAACAATATTCACAAATAAATTCTTATTTACCATTTTTCTCAATATTAGGATGATACATTGGATGTTTAACAAATACTTTTGGTGGTTTAAATGGAAATTGTGCTCCTAATACTATTTGTACTCGAAGAGAACCGTGTTTGAAAAGATCAGAATTTGGCAATATTCGACCAGTAATAATACACTCGTCCGATGATGATGGTTCACTTTCATCATCAAAAGGTGTTGACTCAACAATAAATTTATATGGTGCGTTACTTGTTGGTCCAATATTTTTAATTTGACTAACTAATCTGTAAATATGTTTTACTCCCTTATTTTGATCAACCATGCTGATCTCAAATAAATAATGATTTTGTGTTCTATTGTAATTTTTTTCCCCACTAAAGACACTTCATAAACGAGACCAATGGCATATATGTATGTAAAGGATGGCTTTTTTTCTTTCCTCATGTAGGGAGAAAGAGAACAAAAAAAACAAATTGCGTAGCTCTAAAAACATATGGTGAAAGGTTGTTTTACCCTATCAGAACAGAATTCCAAAAAATATTTTGTTGCATTAAAAAAAACAAACAAAGAAACTTAATAAGTGAGTGCGCGTTATATATTTGTTTTAAAAAAATAACATAAAATTACATACAGAGGATTGTACTAGAAAGTTGAAATTTGTTTTTCAAAGTATTAGCAACAAATATTATTTTTATTTGACATGATGATTGACATAAATTTTTTAAAGGTGTCAATATTCAAAAAATAGACCATTTAAATATCAAATAATTGTGTTTGAATAGAGATTTGAGAACTCGAGATTATAGTCGTACGATTATCAGACCTATGACAGTGATCTACCATTAGCACTTGTATGCAAGTAATCTGTTATAGAAATTCTAGTCAAAATTATTGATGAAGCAAAAGGCGAGACAATCAGGACTTAGTTTTTTTAAACCAAAAATTAATTTTTTTCAAGTACGAAGATAGTAATAATTTGATCAAAATCTTTTCTAACTTGTAATGACTCCTCGAAATTTAATACTATAAAAATATGATGCCAGATGATTCGTGAACAAAGTATTATCTAGCTATCAGCATCTCCATCTCCATCACATTGAGCTCGAATCAATAAAATGATCAAAAAGCCAAGCACAGGCTAGAACAAGAAAAGTTGTCAATGCGGTCTCATAAGGAGCCAAAGTATGAAACTCGTACACTGTGACTATTATACGTTTATGGTTTATAGTCGTGCCTTTCAAAATAATTTATTTTAAAAAAATCCTAAAGAAATGAGTAAATCAAAATTACAACGATGTCTTTACTTGGTACACACGTGCTGAAGTTTCATGATTTCGAAAATGCTTGCATTTTGACTGGCTATTCTAACAATTTGTTTGATTCATTTTACTTCATTATACTGTAAACATTTTATTTATATTGTCAGATGCTTCTTCAATAGATGAATTTTTTTCACCTAATATTAATATATACGATGTATGCCATACGAAGGGACAAATATCAATTGTACTCTTCGTTTTGTCGGTTCAATTATCATATTAACCTGCTGTATACATTGGTTTAATCGTTCAGTAAGCTTCCCTAGTCCACTCTCCCCAACGAAATACCCCGGGGAGTCCCCACGAAAACTCACCGGGGAATCACGACAGGGATTTGTAAAGGAGTTAGGGAGTCCCCAGGTAGTTGCAAGGGAGTTTGAGGAATCATCAGGCATTTTCAAGAGAGTTTAGAGAGAGTCACCAGGGATCTGCAAGGGAGCTTGGAGGGAGTCACCAGGGTTTGTCAAGGGAGTGGCTTCACAATAAAAAATGCAGTACATCAAACTTATCAGTGATATTATCACTGAGAGGTTTACTTACCTATCTATTTATCTGCCTGTCTATCTATCTACCTACCTTCACTACCTATCTATCTATCTACCCATCTATCTATCTATCTACCCATCTATCTATCTATCTACCTACCTATCTATTTATCTATCCACCCACCTATCTATCCATCTACCTACCTATCTATCTATCGGCCTATCTACCTATCTATCTATCTACGTACCTATCTATCTCTTGCTACCTAACTACACTGGAAAAAATAGGTTTATTACGAAACTAATGCGAGCGCTCAGATCGTCCAAGGTTTCGTATCGATATACGAAACCCTAAAAAGTTCAGTAAATCGTTTTCTGATCCTTTTTAGGTTCGGTCAATCGATGCGAAACCTGAAAGAATCTGATCGTGGGCATAGATTTTGTAAGAACCCATTTTTCTACAGTGTACTTAGCTATCCATCTACCTATCTATCCATAGATCTATCTATCTATCTGTCCATCTACCTATCTGCCTACCTATCTAGCTAGCTATTTACTTAAGTACCTACCTGCTCATCGACTACTTACCTATCTATCTATCGACATATCTATCTGCCTACCTATCTATCCAGCTTCTTGTCTTCCTACTTGTCATCCATCATATGATACTGTTGGAAGGAAAATTTCAGTCATAATATCACGAAAATATGTCATGGACTCAATTTTTCTGTACTTTGTGGAGAAAATTGTACAGAAAATAACTCTTTTGGAATTCCCCCATAGATGGACTCCCTGAGGAGTTTGTACTTTTCTCCCTCTTTCCCAAAGCCTAGGGATTCCCTAAAAAGTCCCCCGGGAACTCACTAGGGACCCCCTGGGGAGTTTTTATCTTTTGGGATTCACCAGGGAGAATAAAGGTGATTCCCTGGGGATTCACCAGGGAGTTCGTAATTTTTAAGGGACTCACCGGTGACTTTGCAGGTGAGAGTTGACTAGGGTTCCGAGCGCACCATCCGTTCTCTTGACGAACTTTCACATATATTGTTGAGTTTTGTCTAAACTTATAATTCGATTGGTTAATACTTTTCTATATTCGTCTCATTCTGACTGTGCTAGATCAATAATAACACTGCCGTACTAATCAACACCTACAAAAATATCTCTCACTGCATTAAAAACCAAAATCCTAAATATTTATAATAGTTAGAATCTATCGAGTCACAAAATGGTGTTAGCACTCTTATTGCTTATGCGCCTTTTCTTGTTGCTATGGAAACCGATATGATAGTCGTTCGCTTCCTACCATCAGGTTGCTATGGCCTAGGGAAAGCTGTAAAAGCCTCGATCTAAACTTATACTGACTATTTTCTTCGAAAATATACGCGAATTACACAAAAAATAAAGTCAATTAGCACTTCATTCTATTATAGTAGGATATTCAATTGTTATTCATTTTGTTTGTGCCAGTCAAAAACTATTCCTTTTGATACAACAAGAGATAATGATTTTTTCTGCAATATGGAACAATTAACACTCTATTTCACTGAAAACGATGTATCAATCAAATCATTTTTAATTGATTTTTTTGCTACCGACTACTATAAAAATATTTTTCAGGCTGACAATTTGATACCATAATTCGACGAGTTTATACTGGGTTGAATGAATGTGACTGTTGTCTTCATCGATATTCACAACCATCTTTTCAACTTTTTTTTTTTCTATAGAATTTGATTGCTTTGGAATATTTCCACATGTTAGCAAACACTGTACTAATATCACTGTTGATAATAACAATCTCTAGATGATTCGAGAAAAGAAATTTTGTTCAGATTCCAAATGTCTTTTGATAGAACTTGAGTATTTTCCCATGCTCTTATGAACTTCAGCAATATTGTTGTAAGTAGTATTCAAATTTAAATAATTCGGACGTAGAGATCTTTGGTAAGTTTCTAAAGTCTCGTGATGGAATTCGAACGGTTTTATGTGATTGTCTTTTTTTACTTTCTACAAATCTCAGCTAATAATAAATGTGACCTTGTTCTTTCTGAGTGTTCTTCGTTGTCTCTTCGTGTTGTATCAGGTAGATTTCTTCGGTCTTATCGAAGTTTTCCATTTGGGTCAAAATTATACCTAGTCGATACCTTCCTGTCGAACAACATATTTTGCTTCGCATATACTCAGTGAAATGTTCGAGATTTTGGTCGTCAATGTTATTGGTCAATGTGAGTTCCACTTCTCAGGGTCAATCGTTGATTGGTCTCATTTGAACGATTTAAGTGATGAAGAGATTGATTGATTGATTTATATTTATTTGAAAGAGAATATCAATCGAATCGTACAGGTTGTGCGCACTATGACTGAGTTCTGATGAAACTTACTTTTTCATACTCATGGATTGAAAGCTATTACATGCTCATATGCCATCTTTGTTTCATCTAGTCTTTTCGAATTCAATGTTGGGCATATCGTGACCTCGGTAGACAATGGAGACCTTTGCCGTGCTTCTGTTGTGAATATAATTCTTCGATACGGGTAAGTAAAAAATTTGCAAGTATACCATCGGATAGATGTATGTTCGTCATGAACTTGTTCGAAATCATTAATTATTTGCAACCCATACGAATTATAGAAGTATTTGTCTCGATAGAAATCAGCAAGTGTTTTCTTTCCTTTTTATTTGTGTGGCATATTGATGAGAGTTTCTTTGAGCAATCATGTATACATAAACGATGGACCGATACGATAGTTAAATCTTTAGCTATGATACTGTTTGCGACCGAATCGATCTGAATGAATACATCTTTCACCTTGATCCATTCTTTCGACGATTGTTGATAGTTTTGCTTGTTTCTACAAAATATATAGATTGAATTAACGATTTGTTGAAGTTGGGCAAGTGAATGTTCAAAATCTACATTAGATTTATCAGTTTTTAAACATAATCGCATGAGCGTGAAAGTTTGAACTATATGCACGCGTGATGAACTGTCCAACTAAATTTCGTTTAAGAGTATTGGAATGAAATTTTCGAAGGAAAATATGGTTTGTTTGGCATTGCTTTCCTTCAACAGGCTAATCTTGATAATCTTCTCTGATGTGACGAAAACAAACTGAAGAACCGTTATTTTTCTGCCTAAGAAACTACTCACTATCTGATAGGATAAATGATGGCAGAATGCCTGTATTGTTCCCATTCGTTGTTACCTGAAGTGCCAAGATAAACAGCGATCGCATTGTCGCTTCCATTTTGTATTACATGTTTTCTTTTATCTGCGGAGAACGATTTTTATGGTGCCATTAGAAACCTTGGCTTCCTTAGCAAATTACAAGATTTTCTTATGTAGGTGTGAGTGTGGGTAACCAATCGATCGACACCCACACCTACGTCTACATCTACACATCTACACCCGCACTATACTATAATGGTTTTGAGAGATATTCACGAAATAGAGATCAAATATAGCTCATTTGGCAACCCAAACTTCTCTGCTGGCCTTCATTCCATATGTTTAGTTTTCTTTTTTGCTTGAAAGAGCATGTCCGGATGCAGGGTATGGCAGAGTGCTTTTTTTGTAAATTTTTATTTTTTTTTGAGAATGACGGGGATGAAAAATTCAACGGCTCAGAAAACATCCACGAAATGACGCTGTAATTATACGGGCACTTTTTTATATAATAGTAATAGAGCTTAATGCAAAAAAAGAAATCTGTCATGGCCTGTATCTTTATGTGCTATTTCGAATGAAAAAAGTCATTGATAACAATGCAGCTCCTTTGAGAGTTCTGGAATGCACGATCAGAAAACCATAATTTGAGAAAAAAACAAATAGGTTTTCCGATTTTGCTGGAAAAAGCATATTCTTCAACGGTATGGGTGTAAGTGTGGGTCTGGACTATAAGTATAAGCGCGAGAGCGAGTGTAGATGAAGGGAAGAGTCACATCCCACTCACACCCAAACCTTATGTATACCCTCCTTGTGAGGCCCCTTAGAGAAAAAAACTATTGTACAAAACTTTAATATCATGAATGAATCAAGCTTTACATCGATTAATCTAATAACTTTGATCCAATGAAGATTATTTGATGGTGGAGATTATTCGTTCATGTTCAGCTCTTTAATTATATTATTCTTTGAAATATGCCACTAGACTCTTTCTAAAGAATAAAACGTCGAGTTTCAATGTCTTTTCTTTACAATTTAATGCTATTAAATATTTATGTCATCACTTTTTATTAAGTATTCCAGTATTAGACTATTGCATGCTGTGATGACAAACTTTTGATATCGTTTGCAAAAGCAGGTGTTGTGATTTATAAAAGTTGTTTTTATAAAAGACGTAGGCTTTTCCTATTAAAGAAAAGAGAGTTTTATCTTTCATTAAGAGAATATTTAACTAGCTGATAAGAAATTTCTTTACGTAGTTCTGATAATATTGAACAACAGAAAAACGACATTTGGCTCATGACTTTTGTGGCATCGATGGATGCAAGAACTTATTGAAAACGTAACGGCCTGTTTTAAGAAGTGTGACGCACATAAAAAAAGGATTTACTCAAGGCCGGAAGAACATTTTTATTTGCTCGTTTCTGTCGACAAATAATTGCATGTACACTGTCGATGCATTATAATGTAAAATATATTCTGTTAGATCTCTCCGTTTTGAAGACATTTCATTAGATGGTAAAATTATGATCAACTATAAGGTATAGATGAATATCAGTCCTATTCAAATCAGTATGAACGAGATTAGCTTCTTTTTCGGTAATATGTGATGCTGCTGTTGATTCCATTTTCTTGCCCTTTCTAAATCTAAGTTGGAGAAAAGTATTTGTCTTTTGCTAGATAATATTCATAGTTATTGATGATGAGGATTCGAAGAAGATTAAGACAGCTTAAGCTCTTCAGATTCATCTGTATTTATTCAGTACTAGACTTGAAACTTCTCAATAAGAAAAACAGTACAACTTCCGTATGTTAAGAAAAGATTTGAAAACAGGCTTACAGCATGGATGATGTGCGAGAACTAACAAAACGAAAAATATCCTAATCGTTAGAAAAAGAGATAAAACAACTCAAACCTCTCCCGTGAATAGTATAAAATCATGTCGTTTTGATGTCGTGATACGCCATCCAAAATCAGGAAACACTTTTTCCCCATGACGTTAATGATATCGTTTAAGTTTATTTCCACCTAAATAAAGATAAGTATTATGAAGAACGTAATTTTGCCGTATGTTATCCTATTTACACCGTTATTTGCATTCCATGGCTTAATTTGTCTACATACAGTAGGTAATTAATAAAATTTTGTAAGCTTTCTCTTATGTTGAAACGTTTTACTTCATAAATAGCAATCGAATGTAGAGATTATCATGCATAAAATACATCTATAGTATACCTACAAAGACAGGAAACACAAATATAATCATTAGATGCGGCGAATTATAATCAAAAATGCATTTGACAAACTAGTTATTCTAACACAAATAAATACTTCCTTATAATAGAAGATCCAGCCTCTTTTTTATGCCTAAACATACAAACTCTTCAAGTGTGGATCTTCTACTATGTCTTGTTTATGTTTATAACTTTAAATAAAAAGAGCTTTCCAAAAAATAAAATCGGTGTAAAGATTCGGGTGCTCATGAAAAGCTATAATAAAAACCATATCTTGGCTTCTTTCAGTTCAACGAGATCATGGTTGTGAACTTCTTTCTTTGATATTACAAAGCTTTTCTTTACTGCTTAGTGAAGAAACCACGATCCATCAAATTCTAAGAAATGACCACGACTACTGCTGCTTAATATCACCAATTGAAACCAATATTTCACTTCGGGTAAAAGTAAAATACGCTCTCACCCACTCTGACCGCCGTTTAAATCGAAAATAGTATCAATCGATGGAGCATACAATTATCCATTCATGAGACTCCATTCCGACCCATTTTCTTCAAAAAATCTTAGACAAAGGAATCAAATATCATTTTTATGTGTCCACTCTTACCCAGGTCTTAACAAGATGGTGTAAGTATGGGTGTGAGTTCAGTCGGAGTGTGGATGTGGATAGGCTTGAACCGTGGATGGAGTGTGATTGGGTATGGACGTGAGCGTGGGATGTGGGTAAGGTGTGGATGAAAGAAGGCCCACATCCAGACACACAAATAAACACTTCTATATTCACACCTCGCTTACCCACAGCGAACCACACCAAATCTCATACCCACCACACATACAGTACGTCCACACCCACACCCAATCTCATAGGGTGTAGATATAGGAGTATGTGATGGGTGTGAGATTGGGTTTCGGTGTTGGATGTGTGCGTAGTGGTTGTGGGTATCAGTTTGGCCGTGGATGTGAGCGGGGCGTGAATATGGTAGGGCGTGGATATGGGTTCATCGTGGCTGTAAACGGGGTGTGGATACGAGAGTGCGTATTTGTGTGTCTGGATGTGGGCCTTCTTCCATCCACACCTTACCCACATCCCACTCCCATACCCAATCACACGTCACGCATAGTTCAAACCTATCCAGATCCACACTTCGACCCAACCCACACCCATGCCTACATGCTCTTGCTAAGACCTGGATGAGAGTGGGGTCAGAGCGGGTGAAAGTGGACTCATAAAAATGATATTTGATTCCTTTGTCTAAGGTTTTTTGAAGAAAATGGGTTGGAGTGGGGTCTCAAGAATGAAGAATTTTATGCTTTATCAATTGATACTATTTTCGAATTAAACGGCGGTCAGAGTGGGTGAGAGCGCATTTTACTAATACCTTTTCACTTCGAGCAGTTCAACACATTGCTTTTGAAGCTTTTTTTCTGTGTAGCTATGATCGATGAACACATTCTTATGTCATTAACGTCCGAAGTTCACAATTAATGTGAATGTCTCGGGATTCTCATAGACATAAACGATGAATAACGTTGAGATCTGCAGCAGTGTCAAATAACCAGAAAATCGGAGAAGCACAGAAAAATGTGAGAGATGCATCTCTCTGTGGAGATGCCGCCTTTTCCGCACTTCTCCACAAGGAGTTGCGTCATCTTCCGAATCGACATCTTTCAGCATCTCTCAATGAAATCTATTTTTTTACCTTCAGGCTTTAATCCATGCGGGAGCTGGTGGAACATACCGCCTCTTTCTGCACTTCCCCAACTCTCAGATTTCCTAGATATATGACACCTCTCAAGATTTAGTATGCAATGAATCGAAAGCGCATAATCGTCGAATACACTAGTTCAATGAAGGAACAAGTATATTAGAAATGGAATAGTGATAAAAAATAGTACATGTGAACTCATAATATCAAGAGAACTTGAAGAGAGAGAATCAAGGAGAAAAAAAGAATATGTGTCCAAAATATAAATAACACATAAACAAAAGTGTTTCAAACCTGTTACACATTCTTGTAGACATATTCTCAGTTATAAGAGACACTTTGAAGTAGATATTCTACACTTTACTATAGCAAAGTGAAATAGGACAAATAAGATCTGCTCTTCAGGTTACTAACGACAGAACTGATATTTTTATAAAATTTTTTTTTTTCAATTTGCTTTCAAGATATTTTTTGTAATATTGTTGTATAATTGAGTTAAAAGTTTTTCGATGATTCTGCAACATATCCTGTGGGTTTTAATTTTAACGCGGCAAGTTATTCAAGCAAGGTTTAATTTGTATTATACAGACCAGACAAGTAACGGTAATAGGCAATTTGATTGCTTATATTACGAAGTACCTGGCCTCAAGAGCCAGCATCTATTTCCGACACAGAATTTCAAAACTAATTATCAAATTATTCCGTATTGTATACGTCCAATTTCACAGAGCGAAATTCACCATGAAATAAATGAAGGAAAGGTTTTATCTCGATTGACATTTGAAGAATTGCGAACAAAGCAGGTAACTATACGAGACTTGCTTTTATGGTCGGCTCCAATTGATCTTATTGAACGTTATGATGAATATCTTGATTCACCATCGAATACATTATCGAGACTTGATATGTTCTACAATTGTTCGTCATTATGGTTTGGAGTATTTTGTCAATATACATTTAAATCAGGTTCATCATTCAATAGAGTTGTCAACTTGACTTTTAAGGCACAAAACTTCCTTAGAATGTCGAATATGACATGTTATATACATTTAAAATGTAATCGAGGATCAACACATACGTGTCTTGATTGGCGTGAAATTTGTGATAGAAAAGTCGATTGTATAGGAAACGATATCGATGAAATGGGTTGTTTTGAACTTGAACTTAATGAATGCGAAGAAAACGAGTTTCGTTGTCATAATGGAATATGCATACCAGAAGAATTCATGGATGAAGGTCCATACTATCCTGATTGTTTGGATGGAACCGATGAAGACAATCACATGATTTTACATTATTTGCGACCTATTTCTTCGTTTGTTTGTTCAGAGGAACCGGCGTTTTGGTGCGAAGAAACAGACTATGCTAAACTCCCTCGTTTTTTTGTATGTGGTGATGGAGAACGTAGTGATAAAGAAATATTTTATATTTCTACTCACAATCTGTTGGCTATACGGTCGTGTACTAATTGGAGAGATTTACGTATTAAGGAATCTCTATTTGCATATGTTGAAGATTCAGCATTGTCATATGAATGCTGGTTTTTTCTCCAATGTTCTGCAGGTTACCATGATGAATTAGATTGTAGTATATTATGTGATTACAATGACGAGCATGCTTGTTATATTAATATTACAAACATATGTGGAACAAGTTTTGTTATTTTCCCCCAACGACCTATTCTTCAAGGACATGTTTTATTCGTCTATTTAACAAACAAAACGATCTATTATATTGTAAACAGACCATCAATGTTTCCTGATTATGTTTGCTATGATATAAGAAAATGTCCTTTTCTTCCATCTATTTCAATTTTAAATATAAATGGTACAACTTGTCGAACAACAGAAGAACTAGATCTTCATCAATTTATTGATATTATTAATCTTTTTCAAGGTTGTTTGATTGTCATTGAAAACGAACTAAAAATTAATTATTCACAATCGTCATCATTGTTTCAATGTCCAGGCACAACGAAATACATTTCGAAACATCGAGTTCTCGATGGTGTTCATGATTGTTATAAAGGTGCTGACGAAAAACATATCGATACATGCCAATGGAAACATAAACATCGTTTTAAATGTTCGTCCGAAAATAAATGTATATCAGACGTTCAACTTCGAAATTCTATACAAGATTGTCTTGGAGGTGAAGATGAAATTTCAAATATTTCTAAACAAATAGTATATCAAAAATTATGTAACGGATTCGTACATATGTCATCTGTTCTTATCGATGGCATGAATGAAACAGATGAAACACATTGTGATAATTGGCCATGTAATAATTTATATACTCGATGTGATGGAGCTTGGAATTGTTTAAATGGAGCTGATGAATTAAATTGTGTATTAACAAATTGTCCTCGAGATACTCATGAATGTATCTCACCGATAACAAAAAAAATCATTTGTCTACCTGTTCATCAAGCTGGAAATGGAATTGTCGATTGTCTCGGATCTACAGATGAAAGAACATTTTGTCGATTAACATATCCAAAGAATTATAAATTGAGGTATAAGTGTTGGAATGAAACAATATGCATTCCTAATAACTACTTTTGCGGGAACGATTTATGTTTCTTCGATGAATTACATAACTGTTCAAAAGATATTAGAGATGTTATCAATCGTTTATATGAAGATAAAAAACTTGAAATTCCTGATTATGAACATTTTATGCTTGAACCTCCAAAGACGATCGTGTCCTCATTAATCATGGAGAGAAATTTTCTCTTGAATCCAACTCATTCAATATTTGATTTGGAAACATCTTTTGAGCAATCGAATTCATTAATCAAGTTGACTACGAATCAAGAAAATGCGATATTAAACAAACAATTTCGTAATGTTCGAACTGATACATGTAATCGTGGGATTGGAATTTATGTTGGAATTTCAACGACAATAGAGTGTCTTTGTCCTCCAAGTTATTATGGAGATCGATGCCAATTTCAAAGTCAACATGTTAGTTTAATACTTCAGTTTTCTTCGATGTGTGAAACGAATTGCCAAGGAGTATTTGGTATTGTGATTACTCTGATCGATCAAGATAATATTATTCATGATTATGAACAAATAACATATACGACTATATATAAATGTGAAAATAAATATTTTAATTATCTTCTATATAAATCACGACCAAAAGATATGACAAAAACTTATAATATAAGAATCGATGCTTACAACAAAATAAATATGTCTTATTATGCTAGTTGGATTTTGCCAGTCAAATTTCTTTTTCTTCCTGTGAATAGAATATCTGCTCATCTAATAATTCCTGTTGATGCAGTTTCTTCTGTCAATAATTGTTCAATATTTTGTGGTCATGGCCAATGTTTAACATATGTTAATAATCGAAATCAATATTTTTGTTATTGTGATTCAGGTTGGTCTGGTATTAATTGTACAATATCACACAAATGTGATTGTTCATTAGATTCGATATGTCTTGGTCATACGAATAATCAATCCATCTGTCTCTGTTCACTTAGAAAATATGGACGACGTTGTCGATTTCCATCTATTTGTCAAGAGGAAATTTGTAAAAATAATGGCCTATGTATTCCTGATGATCAACGTATATCACCAAATACTTTTTTATGTTTATGTCCATCTGAATTTACAGGTACAACTTGTGAACTATTCGAATCAACAATACATATATCATTTCATCATATTGAAATTCCTCGTTCTATTCTTGTTCATTTCATTACAATACAAATTAAAGCTGATCCAATGCGTACAACAATATCTAGAAAAATTCCGTATGATCAAAATATGGCAATAGTTCACATATCGATACCATTTCATATAATTATTGTTCAAATTTCTAATGAATATTTTCTTGGATATGTTAAAGCAAATTATAATTCTTCATTAATAACTAAAATTCAAATAAATCCAGAACAACGATGTCCACATGTTCAAGAATTATTTCATAATGATACAATATTATCATATCCATTATTACGTCGTGTTAAATATTATCATCTACTTTGTAAAAATCGACCTCAATTAAAATGGTTTCATGATAATGAACAATTTATATGTTTGTGCAATGAAGAACAGTATGCAAATTGTTTTCCATTTGACTTCAAACCAATATACACTTGTAAAGGATTTGGAGATTGTCAAAATGATGGTCAATGTTTTGCAGATCGTCCAAATTGTCCACATTCAATATTTTGTGTTTGTAAGGACTGTTTCTATGGAAGTAAATGTCAATTTACTACAAAAGGTTTTGGACTTTCACTTGATGCCATTCTTGGTTATCAAATTCAACCAAAACTATCAATTAATCGTCAACCAATTATTGTAAAAATTAGTATTGCTTTAACTACGATCATGTTAGTCATTGGTCTTATCAATAGTTCTATTTCAATAATGACTTTTCAAAGAAAACAATTAAATGAATCAGGCTGTAGATATTATCTTTTAACTGCATCAATTGTTTCATTATGCGTATCAATTTTATTCTCAATTAAATTTTTGATGTTAATTCTTTCACAAATCGATTTTATAAAAAACAAAACTGTTCTACAAATATCTTGTATTTCAATTGATTTTTTTCTTCGATTGTATTCAATAATTGTCGATTGGCTTAATGCAAGTGTTGCCATTGATAGAGCATTTACAGTAACAATGAGCATAAAATTTAATAAGACCAAAAGTAAACGAGTTGCTCGTTGGGTTATTATTGGTATTTTTTTAGTTAATATCATTAGTATTCTACATGATCCAATGAATCGTAAACTTATTTATGATCAAGCAGAACAAAGAAGATGGTGTTTAGTTCAATATTCATCTTCGTTTGAAAGATATAATTCAGCAATAAATATAATTCATTTTTCAATTCCATTTTTGATAAATATTCTTACATCGATACTTATTATTGTTGTTGCTGCTCGAACAAGTTTTAAAGCTCGAAAACAAGAAACTTATCGAGATCATCTAAAAAAACAACTTCGTTTACACAAACATTTACTTATCAGTTCAACCATTTTAGTTTTACTTGCTACACCTCGTTTAATAATTTCATTCACATCTGGTTGTATGAAATCGGCTCGAAATCCATCATTTTATCTTGCTGGTTACTTTATTTCATTTATTCCACCGTCTCTTACATTCATTGTATTCGTTATACCTTCAAGTGTGTACAAAAAAGAATTTTATATGACAAGTAAAAGACTTCGAACACTTGTTCTGCGAACATTGAGCATTC